ACATTCTTACCTTTTTTTTCTATGTGGGCTAGCACCCTAGTCACTTGGGTTCATTTTAGGGCCTTTTCAAAAATCATATCTCATTTTGCCCCTACCTGGGTTTTCCTGGGAACTTTAGAATTTGGTTTATGTTGAGGTCTCCACTGATTTGAGTAAAAGGATCCTGAGCTCCTATACAAGTATTCAAGGTAACAATGCATATCAGCTACAAGATGGTCTTCATTTCACTTCTTTAAAAAATGCAAAATACACAAAGAACTCACAGGAATTTAAAACAATAAAAGCACTCTCTTTTGCTCCAATGAGCTCTGCATTCTACCCAAGGACCTATACAGGTCTCTAGCCCCATAGTACTACCCTAAAAGCATATAGTTCCCCTCTTCATAACTGCCATCTATAGAGGTTAAGGGAGTAGCAAATTGCTTAAGGAAAGTATGGAAAGGAGGGAGAAGTTTCACCTTCACCTACTAAATGATACTTTTCTTATTATCATTTCTTCCTGGTTTTCATTTGTACTACATAGAAATGCCAATGATTTTTGTGGATTATTTTGTATCCTGAATATGCACTTTAGCTATTATTTTGTCAATGAGTTTCTTTACTGATTCTTTGTGGTTTCTATGTACATCATCATGACATCTGTAAAAGGGATAATTTGGTCTCTTGTTTGCTGATGTTTATGCCTTTGATTTTATTCTCTTGTACAACTGCTATAGCTAGCATTAATTTTGCTGTTGTTCAGTTGTGTCCATTCTTCATGACCCCATTTGAGGTTTTCTTGGCAAAGATACTGGAGTGGTTTTCCATTTCCTTCTCCAGTTCATTTTACAGATGAGGAAACTGAGGCAGACAGGGTTAAGTGACTTTGCCCACAGTCACACAGTATCAGAGGCTGGATTTGAACTCAGGGCCTGACTGCAGGCCCAGCATTCCATCCACTGAGCCACCTAGCTGTCCCTAGGCACACAGTAAGCACTTAATAAATGCTTGCTGACTAACAACCTCCTTCTTCCCACTCAAAGAGAGGAATAGGAGGGAAGGTCCCCTTTGTTGGCTGCCACCAACCTTTTCCCATCCTTGCTATAATGAAATCATAGAATAATAATAATTCACATTTGGGGCTGGCAGAGTGAGGGGTGGGCAAGCATCCTGGCACCACTTGAGCTATTATTATCAGTCCAGTCTACACCCAGTTCATGTTCTGCTTCATGTAAAATTACTGAAAAAGACTGTTGCTTTATTAAGTAATTAACCAATGAGGGAAACCTTTCATATGTGCCTGGTCTTATGTTGCTTTAGATGGCTGAGCAAGAAGGAAACCCTCACTGAACCAGAGTCAATGTTGATCTAGGGCAAGGGTTCTTAAATTGGGATTCATGGCAGGTATGGGAACTTAACAGTTTTAAAAGTAAGGCAAAGGCAGTATGGAAGAGAGGCCCATTTCCCCACCTCCTGTTCCACATTCCAATGCGTCTGGCAGCCCCTGGAACTCTGGAATTTACTTCAGGAACAGGACTTTCCACAATCTCTGAAGGCAGATTGCATCTCTGCTCCAGGTTTGGATTGCAGCTCTCTGCCCCCTTGGTCTTGAACCAAATGGTTGCTGGGAAATTTCTTTCAGGCTGTGACCACATTGCTGGCCATGGTCCAATATCCTGGTTGCCAGAGTCAAGTGCTGCTAATCTTAACAGTCAGCTCTCTGCCCCTAGCTTCCCCTGGCAGCAGTCTAGTATCTCCATCTCCTTACAGGGCAAGAAAAAAAGTCCCATCTGTATCTCAAAGGGAAAACATTTAATCTGGTATGCACATATGCCAGTTTTGTCCTCTTGGGAAGCTTCTTGACCATTGGTGAGGATTTACTCCCCACCTCCTGGGAATAATAATATCTTTACTATTTATTCCTCTGGGTTGTTAGAAAATCATACCTTAAAAATAACTTACTAATATAACCCATGCCACGGTAGTTCTCTTTGTCTGGTCTGCATTGCATCTGAGGGAAGGATAGTGGAATGCTTCTGTCAGTAGCCTAGGGCTCTGACATGCCACCTTCTACATGAAGATTTCCTTCCCCATTAACTGCTGGTATGAATTTTGAATATAGGCTATAAATATTATTATACATACATATTGTTTGCTCTGTTAGAATGTGAGTTCATTTAGTAGGAAAGGTCTGTGACCATGGTGAGAGAGGAGCTTGGCCCAGCCCCAGCCCTGGCATAGCCCTGGGGTGGCAGCTGCTTCTGGAGCTCTTGGCCCACAGATGGAGTGGGGATCAAGTGGTTGGTCAGAGGGAGATTGCAGGGATCTCTTTGTTGGTGCTGAGGTAGGATTCTTTTGCTTTGCCTGCGTTTGGATCTGGGTTACAGTTCTGGGTGGTGGTCCTGGGGTGAGGAGGAGAGTTGCGTGGTGGAGTTTGTGGTGGTGGTGGAGAGAGAATCCTCCTCACAGTTTCAAGGCAGAAAAGAGTGCTTATGGTCACTCATAGACCAGAGCACAGACCAGGAAAGGAGTAAACACCTCACCTTTGATCATACCACGTTGGAAGAACCGAAAATTTAGAGGTCCCTAGAATTGTCTCTGAAAACAGCTGCACAAAACCCCTGAAGCTTAGAACAGTACATTCACCACACTGGAAGCAGACCCCTACCTTAACAAAGAGATTAAAAGTCAAATAATTGGCTGGGATCATGAGCAAATAGCACAAAAAAAGTCAGACCGCAGAATCTTACTTTGTTGACAAAGATCAAAACATACAATCAGAAGAAGGCAACAAGCCAAAGCTCCTACATCCAAAGCCTCCAAGAAAAAGATGAATCAGTCATAAGCCACGAAAGAGCTCAAAAAGGATTTTGAGAAGCAAGTAAGAGAAGTAGAGGAAAAACTTGGAAGAGAAATGAGAGTGATGCAAGAAAATCATGAAAAACAAGTCAACAGCTTGCTAAAGGAGACCCAAAAAAACTGAAGAAAAAAACAAACTCCATTCTTGGTCAGGAAACAGATATTCCAAGAATTTAAACTATGGTCCAGAAAATCTAAACTTGTTCCCAAACATCATCTTCTTAAATGTTTTTCCACTTCCTAAATGTTTTTTTTTTCTCAATCAATTGCCTTTAATTTGTAGTACTGATTAAAGCACTACCTGTGTTACCAGGAAAAAAAAAAGAAAGTTCATTTAGGGCAGGGACTATCTGACTTGTCTTTATACCCTCAGGAGCTAACTGTACCTGGCACATAAATACGTAAATGATTATTCATTGATTGACTGAATTATCCAGGGGATATTATCCAGACCTAGATCACTGGAATTAACAGAATGTCTAAAATCTGCCACTAAGTACTCTGCACATAGTAGATACTTAATAATTATTGAATTGGAGTCAATAGTTTTGACCTCCATGTTTCGATGTCTCTACTGTGCTTATCTGCAAAAATATTTGACATGAAGTCTAAACTCAGTCTGGCATTCAAGGCTTTTCATACTCCAGTGAAATCTCCTCCACCGCCACCCCCAAGGAACCTAGCACAGGTCCTCGAATAGAGGAGGTACTTAATAAAGGTTTCTTTATTGAACGAATAGTAGTCAGCCAGTCTAGACTTGTAGAATTGAAATGAATTTATTTAAAGCAAACAGCAGACATGTAACATCCCTGCCCCTTCCCCTGTACTCCCAGCTTTTATCTGCATGCACACACATGTACTGAGCACATGTATACACACACACATACACATACACACACACCCCTTTCAGTAAAAAAAAAAAAAAATCCTTGTAGAAAATACAAATGTTTATATAATACAGTATCTCTGGCAGTTCCAGAATATTCCTCCCACCTCCTCAATCTTCTCCTAGACCACGTAGTTAAAACACCCCAGAGGTCAATGTGAGAGTGACTATGTCAAGAACCATTTCACCTGCTTCCAGTCACAATAATTTCCACATTAACCAAAATGCTGAGGTATTTATTTGTTGGGAGAGGAAGTTCTGGGATCAACCATTGCTGGCTCTGGTATTTGTCCTGGGGCAGGGAATGATGAAAGTTGAAGTGGTGCTAGTTGAATATACTGCCCAATTCTCTTCCTGTCACCTGACAGAATGTAAGCTCCCTGAGGGCACAGACTATTTTTTTTGTCATCATGTCTCTGCCACTTAGCACATTTGTTGTTGCTCAGTTGATTCAGCTGTGTCCAACTCTTCATGACCCAGTGGACCATGCTGTCCATGGGGTTTTCTCAGCAAAAACACTAGAATGGTTTGCCATTTCCTTCCCCAGTGGACTGAAGTAAATGAAAGTTCAAGTGATTTGCCCAGAGTCACAGGTCCAGTAAGCATCTGAGGCCAGTTTTGACCTTAGGTCTTCCTGACTGCAGGCCCCGTGCTCTATGGGCTGAGTCACCTAGCTGCCTTGCTTAGCACATCACTCTCAATAGATGCTTTCTTGCATTGAATCGAATTCACTCATTATTCAACAGGAACCACGTCTGATCTCCCTCTTCAGCCACCTGCTAAAGTAGCTGGGCAACATCCAAAAGACAGATAAGAGGAACAAAAGGCTTGGATAATCCACAAAATGGGTAACTGGGAGTTGATTACATGTCCTCATTATTTACACCTAATGGTGGAAGTCCCAGAGTATAAGACTTATTGCTGTTTTCATCTCACATAGGGAGTAGCTTTGCGGGCTTTTTCTACTCAGTATCCCAAAATATAGCAGGAACCTAGTGGGAAGCCCTAAAAACATTAGGCCACCTTACTAGGTTGTTGTGAAGTACAAATGAGACAGCCTGTGTAAATGAGATAACTTTGGGTACCTTAAAGCACTCCATAAATGCTAGCTATCGTAAGTAGTAATTATTAAAGTGCTTCTTATTGGATCTCACCTGGCAGGCTGGTGCGCTTTCTCACCATGCAGCTAGTGCACAGGACTGGCAGTCAGAAACCCTGTGTTTGAGCTCTCAGCTCTGCCCCTTACTGAGCTGTGCGTGACCTAGGGCAAGGTGCTTCACCTTCCTGATCAGGCCTTCATTTCCTCCGTAAAAGGGTGGGATTTGATTAGAAGGTCTCCAATGGTCCTTCTAGCTTCAATATTCTATGTTCTAAGGTCCCCTTCTCCTTGAACATTCTATGTTCAAAGTTCCCTTTGGGCTCTCATCTTCAATGTTCTATGATTTCCAGAAGGCACTCGAGGCTTTTCCAGATTGAGGTTTGACAAGTGAAAAGGAGGGGAAGAAGGGAATATACCCCAGCTAGAAGCCAAGACAGAGTGATCAATGAAAAAGGTGCTGGGGGAATTGCAGTTTCTACAATCATCAGGTCATAAAATAATTGAATAAAGGAGTAAGGAATGCTCTGAGCATCCAGCGCCAGAAAATTCATGAACATTCAAAACATTGAGGGGCTGTTCCTCTGTAAGTCACCAACTGTATCTACAAAGCTCTTTCTGAGAAGGGTCTGGCTTTGAGGGGAATTCTATGCATGTACCAAAAATTGCTAGATTTTTGGCTGCTCTGAGGCCCCTGTATTGCACTAAGGGATACGTGGCTTAAAAGAGGCTCTCTTAGGACAATGAAGAGAGAAGAGGATGGAAAAAGGGTTGTATGTAACCCCCTACCCCCTGCTCAGGCATACTTCTTCATTCTGTGGCAAAGTGTTTAATGAGCCTCCAGAATTAAGATTGTCTGCTCTGAGGCCCAAGGCTGCTCCCCTCCACCCCCTAACGAATAGGTATCAGGTTGTCATCCATATGTCTGGCTCATAGATGGACAACCACTTTCTTCTCAGGTTAACAGGACCGGCATACTGGCTTCTACTTAGTAATGGTCTACATGGAGGAAATGTTTCACACACAAAGGAAATTCAATGATTCCCTAAACAAAGTGTATATCGCTGTTGATTGAGAGGACTGCCAAATTCCCCAAAGCTAATCTAAGAAACTTTTATGTAGGTGTTGCCCTCATGTTCACAGTCCGCCATGTTGGGGCTGAAGGGCTGGCTTGGGCTCGGTACACCACCAGGGCTAGGCTTTAAATGAAGGGATCCTTTCCATTTGTCTGAGGTGGAGCCAAATGGATCTTCACAGTCCTGAGAAAGGAGAGACACACAGGTTCCTAAAGAAGACTCTTCCTCTAAATGGTTTTCCCTGAGAAACTCTACAGAAGAGGTCCTTGGCACCCTACTCTCTGGACTCTCCATTATTTCCAAGGGGCAGACACTGGTGGCTTTTGTGAGAGGAGGAGGCAATGTTTCTAGGACCTCAACCATACAGTTGCATTTTGTGCTCTGGACATTGCCCAAGGGTGTATAATTTTCACTGGGACTTGGACATCTCTTTAGGTGCCCACATAGATGACAAGTCAAGGTAGAATAGACTATGCCACTGCTGAAATCTAACTTGGGACAGACTGAGGACTCCTCAGGAGTGTCCTCATGCTTCTTGGTGCCATTCCAGCCTAATGTCAGAGAATGCTTTCCCGTCTCTTCCACTGATATCTCCTGGAGACTGTACGTCTTGAGGAAACTGGAGGGCACAGGGCTGTGTTGGCATTTTGGAGGGAGAGCATCTCCTAAATCCAGGCCAAAGGTAAATAGTGGAAGTGGAGTCACTTCCTCTGCCTCTTGACTAGGAGAAATAAGACTTTCTAATGGCCTGTATTCCCCTTTCCCTTTTCCAGACTCAGACTCATCACCAGAGGTCTCTGGAGAGGTTTCTTTCCTAGAGTCATTCAGGAGACTAGCAAAGGATCGATACCCAGATTCTTTGGAGACATTAAAGCTAGCTGCCTTATAATTCTGGTCATTGCCTTGCTTTACTGCATTGTCAAAACACTGGTAGCCCGACGTTGCTAAAATGGTGGGGCAGGTGACATCTCCTTCTTGTCTGAGAACCCTCTGTCTTAGGATTTCCTCCCAGCTCTCTCCCTCTGACTGGAGCAAAGAAGACGGCTCGCTTTCATGGGAGGAAGACGTTTTAGAGTCCTCTGAGCAGCTAACCCCATGCTGTAGATCAGGGTCTCCAAGGCATGGGGCCATCTGTTCCCATGAACAGCTAGATGAGCTCAAGGGAAGGCTTGGCTCTTCCTCAGTCCTAGGCAAGGATTGGGCCAGGAGGCTGCTGAAGCTTCGATAAGCAGGGTTATCGTCAACAACTTGGGGTGCTTCTGAAATGGATGCATTTGTTAAATCCTGAGTTTGGGAAGCTGAAGGAAATTGCCCCTGCTCTTTGTGGGGCTCAGGAGACTGTCTGGCCTTGGCAGAGGCAGCATCTACGCAAGGACTCTGGCAGACAGTTTCAGATCTCTCAGAAATGTGTGGACCACTCAGGAAACCATTCTGGAAAATGGGTGAGCCCAGCTTGGTAGGGCTGTCCCAGCAGCGGCTTGAATCTTTGCTTTCCTTAGGTGGTGACAAGGTTGCATCTGCCAAATCCTTGTATTTCCCAGATGGCTTGCTGGAACATGACATGAAAGTCTCCTCTCCTATGAGATCAAGGAACAGCATCTGGACAAACCTGTCTGCAAGGGCTTCTCGGTTCTTCATGAAGCTGCTTGTGCTATTCTCGGGGGATGGGGGAAAGGAAACCTCATCAGCATCCCTTTCCTCACTTTCCACCTCAGCCTCATAAAGCTCAATCGACTGCACCACACTGATCTTCTCCGGCACTAAGACATGTCTACAGGCTTCTACTGGCCAGCTTTCTCGTTTGCTGGGGAGAGGGAGATGGGTATCCTCTTCTTTCTCTGCTGAGTTGTGGCTAAGTAAACAGGGAAACAACTTGGAAAGGCATGTCTTCCAGTGCCTAATTTTTTGGAAAGGAAATTAAAAAAAAAAGATGAGTTAACGCATGGAGACTTTGTTCAACTTCTAATCATTGTGTATGTTTGCAACTCTGTCACATTTGTATAGTACTATAGGTTTTACAAAGTGCTTTCCTCATAGTCTTGTGAGTTAAGACTGGACAAGTAGATTTGGGCAGCATAAGATGGCTGAATTTGGAGTCAGAAGCCCTGGGTTCTTACTAGCTGTGTGACCTTAGACAAGTTACTTAACTTTGCTGAGATTTCTCATCTGTAAAATGAGGGAGTTGAACTAGATGACCTTTAATGGCCTTTCCACCTCTAAATTCTATGATTCTATGCTATGAATCGCTAATAATTAGATAAATACAAATTAAAGCTCTGTTGACGTTGGACCTCATATCAGATTAGTAAAGTTGACAAAAAGGGAGAAAAAATGTCTGATGTAGGAGGGCCTGGGGAAAAAAAACAGACACACTAACACATTGTTGGTAGAGCTATGCATTGGTTCAGCCATTTGTGAAAGCAATTTAGAATTATGCCTCTAAAGTTACTACATTGTGCATACCTTTTGACAGTGATACCACTACTAGACTTGTACCTAAAGAGATCCAAGAAAAAGGAAAAGGACCAATATGTACAAAAATATAGATCCTCATTTAGTTGCAAAAAACTGGAAACTGAGGAGGTGCCCATCAGCTGGGGAATGGCTGAACAAATAATGGTATAAAAATGTAATGCAATATTATTGTCCTGTAAGAAATGATGAGAAGTGTGCTTTCAGAGAAACCAAGAAAGGCTGCTATGATGCCGAGTAAAATGAGCAGAACCAGGAGAACAATGTATACACTGACAAGGCTGCGAGAACAAACAACTTTGAAAGACTTAAGAACTCTAGAAGATGCATCATGAAGAATGCTATCTACTAGCCAGAGGTGATGGACTTGGGGTACAGTATGAGACATATTCTTTTGGACATAACCAACACAATAATTTTGTTTTGATTGTTCATGTTTGTTAAAAGGGTTTTCTTTTTCTTTTCTTTTTTTTACTAGGGGAAGGAGGAAAAGTGTGAGGGGTAAAAAAAGAATTTTGTTAAACTAAATAAAAAGAAAATTAAGAGCCTAAAATACGATGCTATTATTTCCACCATTTACAGATGAGGAAACTAAGGTTCAAAGAAATGAATGATCTGTCTGTGGTCACACAGCTGGTAAATACTGGAGCCAAGAGTCAGACCCAAGTTTTCTGATTTCAAGGTCCTTATTCTTTACACTATACAGTGACTGCTTCTCCAATGTTAACAGTTCTAGGTATATGAACAGTGACAACTAAGAATTTGATCTTGGTAATGAAATAATCAGATTGATTCTGGTTTTTTTTTTAAATTGATCCTACTTATAGTTAATTGATTTTGTCCAGTAACAGCCTAAGTCGTGGTTCTTTGTTTCTGAACTTAATTCAGAATTCAGCTGGTCTGTGTAATGAACTCCAGTTCTCTTGTGAGTCAGTGTTCTATTCTTGTGCAAGGAGATCTGTTACTCTTAAAAGATACTGGTGGACACCAGGGAGCCTGGTTTAGTATCTTTACACCACCAAGCTATCCTTCAGGGATTTCTGGTTTGTCATTCAAAGAAACCTGATTTGCCATCTCTGTCCCTGAAGATGCAGCTGGACTCACACAATGAACATTTCTTAGTCACAGCAGGGAAGGAGAGGGGGTTGTTGCTAGCCCTCATTGCCAATGTCCATCCAATCATATTTTCTTCCATCTATGATGCTAGTTATTTTTTGTGCTCTCCAAAACTATAAAAGAGTGTCATCCCCCTCATTTGGGGTCTTAACTTTGCTGGGGAAGCTGAGATCCTATTTGTTGATAAATTCACACTTTACTAATAAATTGATTGTGTTCAGAACTTTGCACCTCAGTCTACCTTAACTTTAACTATTATAGTAAGATGATTTCCACCGTGAGAACTGAAGATCATTCTATTTATAGTATCCTCTCTCTCTGAATCACCCAGACTACAAACTGTCTCCTTGCTTCCCCACTGCCCCAGATTCCCTTGGCTTCTTCTCAAGGGTCAATATTCTGCTTACTATTTATAACCATACTTGCTCCTCACCAGCTTAACAGAACATAAATATATATCCAGGCTTTTTCCTTTTCTCCTTTCCATCCTCAAACACAGTTTCCTCAATAAAAACCGAATGCTGAGAGACAAGACTACCCAAAACAGAATCGATGTAATTGATTTTAGTTCTTCTGCCTGATTTTTTAAAATAACCATAACTGGCCAGGGGTGGTGGCTCAAGGTTGTAGTCTCTGCTACTGGGGAGGTGAAGGCTGGTGGATCACTTAAGTTTGGGAGTTCTGAGCTACAGAAAGCTGAAACCCAATGGGGTGTCTACTATGTCTGGTACCAATACCATAAACACCTGGAAGTAGAGGGCCACCAGGCTCTCCAAGGAAAGGCAAGCCAACCCAGGGTGGAAAAATGGAGTAGGTTAAAGTTTCCTTGCACATCAGTATTGGGATTGACCCAGGAGTAGCTGGTGAAGAGACAGGGAGACACAGTCTTAAATAAATATAAATCGCAATAGTTGACATTCACATGTCACTTTTTTGTCATAAAAAGCACTTTCAGATACATTATCTTATTTCACTTCCAAAACAACCCTATGCAGAGCAAGAATTGTTATCACAATTTTAAAGATGAGACTTTAAAGATTTTAAAGAATGTTAGATAGCTTGGCCAAGGTCACTGGCTAGTAAATGGGCAGAGGCACAACTCACACCCAGGTCTTTGGACTCCTGGTCCCATTATTTCTTGAGGCAGCTAGGTGGTTCAGTGGATAGAATGTTGGGCCTGGAGTCAGAAAGATTTGAGTTCAAATCTAGCTTCAGGAACATACTAGCTTTGTGACCCTGGGCAAGTCACCTAATCTCTGAATACTTCAGTTTCCTTCAGGTTGTTGTTGAGTTGTTTTCAGTTGTGTCTAAGTCTTCATGACCCCATTTGTGGTTTTCTTGACAAAGATACTAGAGTGGTTTGCCACTTCCTTCTCTAGCTCATTTTACAGATGAGAAAACTGAGGTAAACAGGGTTAAGTGACTTGCCCAGGGTCACACCACTAGTACTTGAGGTCAAATTTGAACTCAGGAAGATGAGTCTTCCCTGACTCTTGGCTTGGTACTCCATCCATTGCACCACCTAGCTACCCTTCCTCCAATGTAAAATGAAGGTAATAGTAGCAACTACCTCACAGGGCTATTTTGAGGATCAAATGAGATAATCTTTTTAAAGTTCTTAACACAGTGTCTAGTACATAACAGGTGCTTAATAAAGAATGCTTGGGAACTTCTTGTTCCCTCCATTATTTGCCCAGAAGAGGCTCATTTGACTAGGCCTGATACCCTATTTCCATTAGATCTACTCCTCAGTTCATTCTGGCCTATGGTTGACCTGATATACTTACGGGAATTTTTTCTTTTCTTTTGCTTTAGGCAGTTTCCTCCATGCTGAAAGCTAAAAGAGAAGGAACAATGGAATAGACAGTCACCCTTGGCAAAAGCAGGGACAAGATTTCCCACTCATATATAGACAAATTCAGTGGATCCAAGGTGGAGAGGTTGCCCACAACAAATTTAAAACTTTTCTCTTCTCTCATGCTCCCCTAGATTGGAAACTCATGTGCACTTTCCTCTTGCTGTCAAGAGCAGCCCCATCTTTCCAATTTCCCAGGTTCACAGCCTTGCTGTCATCCTTGACTCCTTCTCTTCCCTCACACCACATATCTATTCAATGGACAAATCTTGTCATTTCAACCTCCATGACACCTTTTGCTTACAGTCTCTCCTCTCTACTACACAGCTACCAATCTAGTTCTAGCCTTAATTAGCTCTCTTTTGGACTAGTGCAATAGCCTAACTTTCTAAGTGTGGGCCCTTTCTTCCCTGATGAAAATTACAAACTATTCACACTTTAGTAGATGGTCTTTATTAACTGCTTGTGGCCAAACCAATTCATCGCCTGATAGCCAACTTTCTGATGAACCTATCTGAACTTAAATAGGTTTGTTCTCCAATGACAGGCACACAGTTAGATGTTAAGCATGTATTCACTGCTTTCTAACTTGGTAGGACCTGTTGCGGTTTGTGCTCCCACCCTGTCCAAGCTCATGGCCTTATCATTAAGAGGGGACATAACAGAGGTGATCTACGACCATCCCATGCTGACAAATCAGTGCACGTTCCAGGCTGATCCACATCCCCTTGGAGAGTCAGATTGTTTCAGACAAAGACTCAGTTCATGGACTTTCCCTGTAGCTTCTCCTCTGATTTTCTACTGATCTATATAGTTTGAAATCTATGCTCCTGCACCTGGCTTCCTGCTCCATGTCAATTCCTTGGATTCTGGCACTCTGCAGAAACATAAGTCTCACAGCCTGGCCTAGATTTTGGCTTATACTCTCTTTGCATCCTGATGTGGATCCCTACACCCAGTCCCAGTGATGGTGCACCAGCACGTGCTGGCCATGGATATGGGGTTAAACCACTGGACTACCCCTCAAGAATCCTGAGTCACCTTCATACAATTATGAAACATCAGAAGAGAATTCATTGTTTTAGTGTTATTCTTCAATTTTGTTTTTGTTCAGTCATTCAGTAGTGTCTGGCTCTTCATGCCCACATGAAACAAACATGCCAGGCCTTTCTATCCTCCACTATCTCTTGAAGTCTGTCTAAGTTCATGTTTGATATTTCCATGATACTACCTACCCATCTCACACTCTGCTCTCCCCTTTTCCTTTTGCTTTCAATCTTTCCCAACATCACAGTCTCTTCCAATGAGTCCTGTCTTTTCATCATGTGGCCAAAGTATTTAAGTTTCAGCTTCAGTATTTGACCTTCAGTGAATAGCCTGAATTAATTTCTTTAAATATTAACTGATTTGAGCTCCTTGCTGTCCAAGGGACTCTAAAAAGTCTTCTCCAACACCACAATTCAAAAGTGTTTAGTGGTGATAAAGAGGAAGGTGGGCCCCCTCTCTGCAATAACTTCTCCCCTTGATGATTATGAGGGCTGAGCTGACAGGCTATTAAAAGGGCCCTCAGAGATCATCTAAAGTTCTTAACCTGGGATCCATGGATAAGGGTCATTGCTTCCTCAAATAAAGGTACTCCGATGTTTATTCTCTAGTTGTCTACTTACATATTCTTCTGTTTGCTCCAGAGCTATATTCATGTAGCCAACCAGGCAAGCCAGGACACCTTGGTAATCCACTCTAGAATTTAATTTTACTCTAACAGGTCCCCCTGTGATCTGATTTAGGAAGCCACTCGGGGTTTGCTTCCCTAAACTCATTTTAGCAATCCTCTAAACTCCTCACTTCCACCTCCCTCCAAGATCATGAGTACTCCCACCCAGGCAGCTGGTGGGACAACTCCAGAACTCCAGCTTCTGCCCAACCAACTACAGCTCTCCCCAGTAATCAACTAACAATAAATACAGTGATATTTTGTGTTCTCTATACTTTTCAATCAGTTACAGAACTATAAAGAAATGATCTGCCATAAAAGAGTGTTTATGAAAGCATGATTTCTATTCCCTTCTTGCATTTCATCAGAGATACCCTCCACATGTGTATAGGTGATTCTCATAAAGATTTTATGGAGATAAGAAAGTAGGCAAGTGCATCAATAGTTACTGATGTATTTTAGTATTGGCTTAAGCAAAACATACTAACACGAAGGTAAGTAAATCTACTGGGGAAGAAATTAAATAATACATACATTCCCAAATACTGCTCTCTTTGAATTACCTATGCTACTACTCACAACATTGGTACAGAGAATTGAGACTGAGCTGACGCAGGCAGTGACAGGATATCTTCAAAGTCACCTACCTGTTGGTTCTGAATAATGATGGCAGTTAAGTGGCTATGGGCTGGGTTGGGGATCTGATCCCACCACACTTTCTTAATCCTGTAAGACAAGAAGTTTCTAGTGTTGGTCATGTGAGTCAGACAGTTTGGGGTGAGAGAACGCAACATGGTCCAGGAAAAAATAGTGGAGTTGAGGTAGAGGAAGGCTTAAGGAATCAAGGTGAGAAAGTGTCAAGAATACCTGTGGACTCTGACCCCTTCTCACCTGGGCAATCCTCCCACAGTAAGTCCTCAAGGGTCAAGCTTTGTAGTAATGGGCGGGGGCATTACAGGTTCATGGGATTCAAAGATGGACTTGCCCAAGATCATATAATCACTAGGGCCAAATTTGAACCCAAGTTTTTTAAGTCCCAATTCAGCATTCTTTCCACTACACCATGCCACATAAGGGAACCAGTTCCAACCTTCTTATAAAATACCCACTCATTTTACCAAGGAGGAAACTGAGGGTCGGGGGAAATAATGCACCGAGGATTACAAAGACATTTAGTGGTAGGGTTATGACTAGAATCTGGGTCACCTTAAGTTTAGTCTCATGTTCTTTATATTTTTCCAGGCTAAAGAAATATTTAATTTAAAAAGAGACAACAGGACATTTGACAGAGACCCATTTGCTCCAGAAAAGTTCAGTTTTGATAAAATAAGCATAAATGTTTTTGCATAATAATAACTCCCAATTCTATAGTGCTTTAAGGTTTACAAAGCACTTTCCCCAAAACAACCTGTAGGCAACAGGGCAGAAATTAGTCTCTCCATTTTGCAGATGAGACAACTGAAGTTAAAGGAAGTGATATGACTTGACTAGTATCACCTATTTATTAAATGGTGGTGCCAGAAACAGAACCCAAGACTGTTGACCCCACCAAGGCATTTTTCTATTATCATCATGACCCTAACTATATTGATCTTAGACACAACCCTTCTGGGTCATTCATTTGCCAAAGTAGAAAGGGACTGACTTTACTGAATGTGAAGTCAACCTTGCCCATAATACATGTCAAACCCACAAACAAGTGCTGGAGATATTAGGATGGGATACGATAAACTAAAAGGGTAGGTTGGACCTTGATTGTGGAAGGCCTTAAATAAAAGGTTCTAAGGAGTTCATGTTTAATTCTAGAGGGAATAGGGAGCCACTGAAGATTTCTGAGCAGGGAAGTGACATGGTCAAATCTATACCTTAGGAAATTATTTCAGCATCTTTGTGAAGGATGGATTAGAGTGGTGTTGGTAGAGGCAGGAGAGTAGAGATAAGCAAATGAGTCAGAAGGCTATTTTAAGCCTAACCTAGGAGGCTGGAGACTGGAGTGGAAAGAAGGAGAGAAAAGAGGGATGACAGTGGTAGAATCAACAGCCTAAGTAACCACCATCACATCTCTTATCCTAATACGGCTCCGATTTGGCCTACTATGAAGTCTGCTGACTAAACTAATATGAAGGAGGTCACATCTCCCACAAAACTGTACTTACTTGATGACACTGAAATAGCACAGCAAATTAACAAGCAGGATCAGGATGCAGAAAATGGGCACCCCCAATTCCAGGCCACTCAGAAAAGGTTTTTTGTACTCTAGGAAGGAAACAGACCAGCACAAAGTTACATTTTGCTATAGATTTTCAGCTGGGAATCTTTTGAAATAGACCAGTTCAATTCAATAAACATTTATTAAGTGCCTACTATGTGCCAGGTGCTAGGCTTAACTGCTGGGGATACAAAAAGAGACAAAAGACAGTGCCTGCCCTCAAGTAGCTTATAATCTATCATCTCCAATTCAATTCATCAAGTCATTTTGTTGAGTGCTTACTCATGTGAATCAAAGAATAGATGGATGAATGTATTTTTTTAATGTATTAAGTGCTTACTATGTGCCAGAGGAAGTGTGTTATAATGGATTGGGAAGTAGCCTCAAAAGTAGGAGGACTTTGGCTGTCTGACTCTGAGCAAGTCATTTAACCCCTCAATTCCCCAAGAAAACTCTCCTAGATTAGAAGTTGCAGAGAATATGTCAAACCATATGAGTAGAGGGAATTTCCTTACCCAGGATTCTCCTATCCAATGAAATCATCAGTCCAATCCCAATCCCTATTATGTGCCAAGCACTGTGATAGCTACAAAGACAAAAACAAGACAATCCTTGCCTTGGGGAGAGATAGCATCTCCACAGATAGATATGGACAAAATGTGAACAAAGTAAACACAAAATTATCTTGGTGGAGGGGAAAGAAATAACAACTGAAAGGGTCAGGAAAAGTCTTCTGTACAAAGAGGCACCTGAGCTGTACTTTGAAGGAAGCAAGAGATTCCATGATGCAGAAATGAAAAGGGAGAACATTGCAGGCACAGGGGGTCTGCCTGAGCAAAGAATCAGCAGTTGAGAATATTGTGTACTAGGGAGAGCAAATGGTCCAGTTTTATCAGCCACAAAATAAAATTGCCTGGGTGGAGCTGTAGGAAGAGCATCAAATTTGGAGTCAGTGGCCCTGAGTTCAAATTTTGGTTTTGCTAGTTGGTATGTGTATAACCTTAAGCAAGTCATTTCAGCTCTGGGCCAGGGTTTCTTCCTCTGTAAAATCAGAGGACTGAACCAGATGATCTCTCGTCTAGTTCAACAACCAACACTCTGCATTGGAAGTTCAGAAGGAGGGTTGACTTCTCTGAAGGTGCTTCTTTTAAAGGTCACTGAGCAGTTGTGACAGCGCCTTGGCTCTTTGCATCGGCTCAACCAATTCTAGAATATCAGCACCTTCAAGGTCATCCTAACACTCGGAAGCTGACTCACCATTATACCACTCAATGGTGGGGCTCCAGTCACTCCACTGTCCACGGTAGCCTAGGTTGCCTGAAACTTTTGACTTCACTCGAGCAGTGTAGGTGCTTTTATTTTCCAGTTCGTAAGCAAGGATGGTCAGGTTGAGTGCTCCATCGATCGTTTTTTGGATAGGCTGGAAGTAAACATAAGTAATCAGAAGACTATCTTTACTGTGGTGAGAAGAGGTTCTCCTTAGCCCTGCAGGGAGCCACTGTCCTCAGCCTATGACCAGCAAGTACCAGGGTCAAGGAAAATGATTCCTTCCACGGTCACAGAGGAAACATGTACAGTAATAACACTCTGATTGAGGAACACGGAGGAAACAGCACTGGGTTGCAGGAAACAGATACAGAAATCAGACCAAAGGATTATAGCTGGAAGGGACCTTAGAAGTCATCTCACTAAGTTCCTTCATTTTTGTTGTTGGGTCTTTTCAGTTGTGTCTGACTCTCTGTGACCCCATTTTGGAGTTTTCTTGGCAAAGACACCAGAGTGATTTGCCATTTCCTTCTCCAGCTTGTTTTACAGATGAGGAAACTGAGGCAAACAGGGTGAAGTGACTAGTAAGTTTCTGAGATTGGATTTGAGCTCAGGAAAATGAGTCTTCCTGATTCTAGGCCCAGTGCTCTATCCACTGCACCATCTAGCTGCCCTCATTCTATTTTACCAATGAGGAAAGTAAGGACAAGAGTGGTTTAGTGACTTGCCCCAAATCACGTAGCAGTCAGTGGTGAAACTAAGATATAAATCCAAATCATCTTACTCTAAATCCAGAAATCTTTCTGTTATTCCATAGTGTTTCCTCTGAGATGGAAAAGTACTAAAGATAAAACACTGCTTACTGCTAGCCCTAGCTACCACAGGAGCTATATAATAATAGCAACAACAATAAAAATAATAATAGCAAGAATGTACATAGCGCTTTAAGTTTGGAAAAACACTTCACACCTATTACCCTGTAAGAAAGGGGCAGCTAGGTGGCGCAGTAGATGGAGCACCGGCCCTGGATTCAGGAGGGCCTGAGTTCAAATATGACCTCAGACACATAACTAGCTTTATGACCCTGGGCAAGTCACTTAACCCCATTGCCTAGCCAAAAAAAAAAAA